TTCTTCCCACAGACGACCGAGTTTGATCACAAAGTCATAGAAGTTAACCAAATCTTCCTTCTTCTTGTCTCTAACCCTCATACATTCCATCAGGAGCTCTATGTAGAATCAGTTGGCATCAACCTTCCATGCAGCCATCTCAGTGGGACAGTGCATCTTTCTTAATCTTTTTGTCCTTTCCCATCTTCCTTGCCTCCTCCCATAAGTCCAGTATCTTCTGAATGTTTGCTCCGACCGTCTTCTTAGAATCATAGCCATACCACTAAAACTCATGGATTTTTCAGGATGTGGGACCTCTCGGACATAGAACGGTTTGCATAACTCGAACGTTGACCATCTAGTTAACAGAACAACATTACATACACATTTACATCGCACATTCTAACAATAACCATACTTCTAATCCATTCAAATTACTAAAAAAAAATTATCCCACAATTCTAAAATCCAACCAATGCGAAAATAAAAACAAACATCTCTAAATTATTCTTAATCAAACCAAAACAATAGTTCAAAAATCCCTTCTAAAAGAAAAACAATCCAGACGGCAAAAAGGCGATCATGTCGGCTCCTTCTTCGGGGCTTCCTCATTTCCAGCCAACATGTAGACTCTTGCGGGACCTCCTTCCCCAAGTCTCCATTGGTTTGCCGGAGGCATGTTCTACTGTGGTGTGGTGGCGGTTGATCAATTCCCGGACAGTTTGCCCTCACGTGTCCATGCTTCTTACAACAGAAACAGTCGTTTTGCCCCAGTACACTCACCCTGGTGTCTTTTGCCACATCTGTTGCATTCCAGCCTATCCCCGGTGGGCACTTGCCGCAACGGTTGGGGTTGAAGAGCTTGGCCACCTTCTTTCTTTCTCTTCGGATGCTCTAGCTTTCGCTTCTTCGGGTTCACCATTGGCTGAGCAGGGGCAGGTTGCATCCCCTTCATTTCCAGTCCAAAGCTCGCATCCACTTGTTGAGCCCTGTGCACAGTATCAGCATATGACAAGGTTCCATGGCTCGCCACGAGATGATGAATCGCGGGCCTCAGACCATCTCTAAAACGCTTAGCTCTCTTGTTATCGGTGTCCACTATGTGCTCCACAAAGTAACTTAGACGAGTGAACTCTCTCTCATACTCGTCTATTGTCATTTCTCCTTGAGTTAAGTTCCAAAACTCGCGCTCTAACTGTGCGCGGTAATGTTGAGGGTAGTACTTCTCAGTCACAATCTCCCGCATTCTCTCCCAAGTTAGGGTCATACGCTCAACTGCAGGCTTCATTCTCCAGTAGGTCATCCACCATCTTCCTGCATCTTCCCTCAGTTGATATTGTCCACATAAGATCTTATGTCCATTGTTGCAGCCTAACACTTCAAATATGTTCTTCAACGTTAACAGCCACTCATCCACGTGAGCGGGTCCTTCTTTTCCCGTCAAGATCGGCAGATCCATCTTCCTAAAGTGACCCATCATTTTCGCTTGCTCCATTCCATTGGTAGACGGTACCACATTCTGTTGTTGTCTCCTTACCATTTCTGAAAGTACTACGGGATATACAATCGCCTTTAATCTAGGATTCAACACGCTCATACGGTCTCATCTAGAGTTATTGGTTCTTTAATGATAGGATCCTAGGCCCCCCAATTCATGCTATCATATTCATGCCTTAAAAATAATTTAACTCATACATACTTACTTCGGAGTTTGCATGGCGCGACGGTGGCGAGTGGTCAATCATTTGAAGAAAAATTTTAAAAATTTTGAAAGTCTACAGAACCGTAAACCAACTCTGATACCAAACTGTAACGCCCCACTTTGCGTACATTAAAGCTCGTTGAAAAAAAAGGACATAAATTTTTCTTTGAAACAATATTTGGGAAACTTTACTTAAACTTAGGGCGCTGCTAAAATAAAAACTTACAATTCATTACAACTCGTCTTGCATTACATAAGACATATAGCATTCCATGGTGTTGCCTCGAGGACTTACACATAAACTTGGCATAACATGAACTTTGCTTTAATCATTCACCTAAACTTTATATTATGAAATCATTTCATAAAAACATGTACTTTATTACGGAAGCGTAAAAGAAAACTCAATCATCTTTGTAAACTTGACCACCCTCGCCGTCACCGGACGCCAGCTCGCCATATACCTTGGGGTGGAAAACAATTAGGGTGTGAGCATTTCCACTTACTCAGTGAGAGATCCTTCTAAGTTAACATCCTAACCAACTATCATGCATGAAATCGTTAGGCATACTCAACGTAATCATGAGCTCCCGACGAGTGGTTGCCCATAAGTCGAAATACTTTCTTGCTTCTACAACCCTATTAGGCAACTAAACTCTAGAGTCTTTGCATGCACGTAAGTACATTATCATCACACTCCCACCCCTTGTCAAACTTCATATATCACTTTATGATGGTGGGAGAACATTGCCTCTCACATACGGCACGACCAACTAGGCTTGACGAGAGTACCACCCATGGGGTTGAAGGGAGATAGCCCTCAACATAGGCTCCGTACGGTCTTATTGACGGGTATAACCGTTCGAAGAGTGCACCAACGAAGGTTACATGTATGCACTTACACGCTCTAACCCTAGCACCTAGCCACCCTCTAGAGTTATAGTCCGTGAACTTTGGTACCTGTAACAAACGACTTGTTCGAATGTTGGAACATTTTATAAACATGGGTACTATGCAAGCTACTTAACTTCATTCAAAACATAGATAATCAAGAAGGATAAATAACGTAGAACTTCCCCCATCTTTTCGGAATGCTCGACTAGGCTTGACTTAGAAGAAATATCGCGATGGCTCGACTCCTCGGTAACTACATTCATTGGGGCATGTCTTAGTGTCTTATCATGGCTCACCATAACTTATTCTTATACATATACATAAACTTGAAAAACTAGCTCACTTGGCTTCGCCTCGTTTGCATGCTTTGAAAACTCTTTATGTTTAAAGTCTTAGGTTAGTTGATAGCTCAGCTTGCTTAATACTCTCTACTTAAGACATTTAAGGATCAGTTAAACTCCAAGTAACATGACATAGATCAACTAGGCCACATAAACATGCATTTCGATGGTAACTAGTAATTACACAAACCGAGCATAAACTTATAAAAATTCAGCATGCACAGTGAACTTAAAATGAATGCAACTCTCAGTACACAAGTCATATGATGATGATTCAAGTTGAAAGATAATCTATGTCATGCTCCTACAACTTTCATGAAGACAACTTCAGCAAATAATGTCATCCAATTACATATATTTCAACAAATATTCAAACATGGCTGCAGTCAACAAAAATGAATATTTAACTTACAGGGTCTTGGTTATTCAAGGATATCATGAGCTACAGACATGATATTAATTAAATTCAAAAACCACTGGATAGCTAACTCATAAATTTACAACTTTGCAGAAGACCACTTTTGTATATAATAATATTATCATTGAGTTTAAACATCAAACATTCAGTACGTGTAAACTCCAGAGAAATAAGTTATATCACATACAGCACCTCAGTAATTCTCAATTATCTCAAGCTACAGACCTCATATTCATGCAACTCCAACACCTACAGAAACTACACACATAAGGATACAACTTTCATGTTGAGCACTTTCATATTTGAGCACGTTTGATACACCTAAACAGGACATCTATTAAGTACATATGCACTGCCATAAGTTCATAAAACAGGACATATATTAAGTACATATGCACTGCCATAACTTCATAAAACTGGGTGCACAATCTTACTTTTAAAAATCATAATAAATCCATTTTAACTCCGATTTTAAAGATTCAAAAGCCTACAGAAAGCTAACAAAATTTTCTATATTTCACGTGAAGAACATAGTTTCAAGAAACGGGTTCTTGGTCGCCAAAACAGACTCACAACTGAGGTACTGAAACCATGATTTCCATGCAAAACTTATAGAAACATCAACAATTTATCATATAACTCATCATGGCATCACAAACACATAACTTCATCATTAAGCAAGCCTTATTATCAACCTTTTAGACTTAAACATCTTTTAAAATCATCAAATTTCCCAAGTTCCAACTTGGTCTTGCATTAAACATTTATAAACATTGAATCTTATTTAATTCACTTCATTATTACATATCTCAACATATTTGGATTAACTTGAGCATTAAAAATCAGTCTTTGGCTTAAAAATATACCGTTCTCAAAAAAGAGGAAAAACGGAAGGAAGGAGGGATAGGCTCGGGCTTGCGTGCGACTAGGGCGGATGCATGGTGGTGCTGGCCGATGAGGAGGGCTTGGCTCGACTCTCTTT